AATTAAATGTTCATTTATATAAATAAAACACAGACATAAGTTCATAAATGAGTTGAATGACGTCACTCTGTGATTATAAAGGCTTTGCAGAGATACTTATGGTGGCTTTTGGCCAAATAGCCCTGATTTTATCACTCAGATTAAAAATAGTGATTTTTTTTTCTGGGTAGGTCAGAGCTGTTTTGGCCAAGCCAAATTGTTAAACATCGTTTCAAATGTATGTTGTTCAGGTTTTATGCAGCTAGCCCCTTCCTTTCTCAAGTTATGACTAAAATGGTCTGTTTTCTAGTAGAGTTCTCTGCAGTGACTGGACGTCACACTTCATATATATTTTATGTTTACAGGGAGAAGATGGAAAACCTGGCCTACCTGGACGTGATGGTAAACCTGGAAATGAGGTATTTCCCACATAATTTACTGTTTTTTGTTGTTGTCAACATTAGATTAAATTTGACCCACAGGGCTAATAATTAAAATATATATTCTTTGACGCATAACAAACAGTTTTGATGACAAAACTTCTGTCATTGAAATTTTCTTGTATTTTTTAGTGAAAATTTGTTTAAGAAGCTAAATGCTATTAAATTAGCACCACATTTTTAAACACCATAAGAATGACCTGGAATGATTTCCAACTAATTTGGTCAAAACGTTTGAATTTTATAGGAATCCAATTATTTGCTTCTAATATATTTTATTATTTATTGCTATGCACCATGTACAATTGAGTTTTTTCCTAACAAACATTTTTTTACTTAATAAATTAAAACAAATCTGTGGAATTACATGAGCTATATCTAGTCATGAGGGATTATTAATTTAGAAACAGTTCAGGGTTTTCCTCATTAAGTGCTCCATCATGGGCGTAGCTGGGATTTTGAGTGAGGGGGGTCTTTTTTGAGAAAAGTGGACCTCTTTAAGATTGGGATTTTCTCCTCTCTCCAGTTGAGTTTCCTCTTGTAATCCATGGCTGCAGTGACCACATCAAATTTAGCTTTCATAATCTGATGTCAGTTAATCTGTTTCTGACCAAACAATGGATCAAAGAGAAAACTGATTGTCTTTAATTTACTACGTTGATATTTTGGAATTTTAAGACATTCTTCATAAAAACAATAAATGCAACATATTTGTGTTGGATTTAAACTTCAGATTATAATTTTATCTTGACATTTCTCTGAGAATATTCTGGAATATGAAATCAATGCCAGGGGTTTTCTTCAGCTAAATAAGCTCTTAGATTTAAAATCTGTCTCTTCAGTTAAAGTCCGAATCTGATGTTTGATTGAGTTTTAAAAGCAGCTTTAAACCAAGAGTATTTTCACACTTAAATATGTTTTTCACAGTATTCATAGTATTTCTCAGGAGTTTAATAAATAGCTATTGGTCCAGTTTTTTTGTTTAAAGCTTTGACCTTCATAACTGAAGGTCACTGTAAAAAGGTTGGTTATACTTTTTATTGTATATCGCTCTGAGAAGTACAGACCGGTTGTTTTTTCTCCACATGTGGCTCATCCTCGTGAGAACAGAGAGCATCATGTTTGCTTTATTTTTATTTTTTATTTTTTACAGAGAAACATTGTCTGTGTGTGCAACAAGCAGAAACTCTGCTCTGAGTTTTTTGTGCTCCCGTTGCTTTTTAATGACGCTGGGTTCTGTGTTGGTCCGTGAGTGCACGCAGGAGTGGTTCTGCTCCGTGTGTGTGTTGATGGGAGTGTTTTCTGGGCGGTTAAAGTGTGACTCTGAATGCACCCTGTAATGCGTAGGGCTTACTGGACTATCTTTGTGAGGACCACACACAGTGGTCACAGCCTCGCAATGCGCCGTCTTTTTTCCCCAAAGTTTGGTGAGAGCTGGATATGGATGGGCGCAAAAATAGCTCTCAACTTGATCTGGTCTTATTTAAATAAAAATGGCTACATCCTGAACATTGTAATGAAAACTGTTCGAGGACTGTAAGGTACAGATTCATTCGTGTAAGTATTATAACAAGTTCATATGCTCGGCTGAGATGGTTTTGGGGGTTTTTCAAAAAACAGTTCATGCACAAATGGAGAGATCGAAACATATTTGAGTGTCCGTCAGATAGTCGAACCTCGGATTCAGGAAGAGCAGTGTGGTTTTCGTCCTGGTTGTGGAACACTGGACCAGCTCTACACCCTCAGCAGGGTCCTGGAG